CGCTGCTCAGACGTGATTGTAAGCACAGTCATGATTCACGCTACGTGACGTCGTGTGGATACATGATGAAAACTACGGATCCATGCTGGAATTTACGGTTTCCGCAGCAAAGCCTCGTTTTTGCTGGGATTCAATACAAAAATGGTGGCCATGTGGCAGCAGCGTCTGGCTAGGGGCCTTGAACATTTCTCGTGCACGTCAAGGAGCTGTCTAGCTTCTTGGTTCACGTCACTGCGATGCCATGAATCAATGTTAGCAATGGAGGATGTTAGACAGACCTTTACTTTTTACGGCACCATCGCTGGGCGGGCAGGCAGGCGTGTGGAGCCGTTCTATATGTAGCTACTGCAGCAGCACTGCGCACGAACACGCGGGCGCTGCGTGACTGCTGTAGGTGTGCGTGCGCGCGCGTGTGAGTCCGCGTGTGTGCGCGTTGCGTGTACGTGCGTGCGTCTCTATCTCTTCCTCTATCTTCCCCTCTATCTATCTGTGTATGTGTGTGTGCGTGTGCACGCGGATGAGCGTGTGTGCACATGCGCGTGTGTGCGTGCGTGCATGTGTGCGTGCGTGTGTGCGTGTGTGCGTGCGTGCTCCTAGTATGTATAATAGGCAGGGTTTATAGTTGGTGAAGATTGTCAGTGTTTATGTTTCTGAGTTATCTGCAGCAGCAGCAGCAGCAGCAGGCAGCAAGACATAAAGCAGTAAGCAGCAGCAGGTCAGCAGCAGTAGTAGGCAGTAGCAGCAAGCAGCAGCAGGCACAGCGAGTAGCACAGCAGCAGCAGCAGGGCAGCAGTAGTAGGGCAGCAGCAGCAGCAGTATATATGTAGCGAGCACAGCAGCAGCAGGCAGCACAAGCAGCAGTAGTAGCAGCAGCAGCAGTAGTAGCAGGCAGCAGACAGCAGCAGCAGCAGCAAGCGAGCAACAGTAGCAGTAGTAGGCAGCAGCAGCAGTCAGTACGTCAGCAGCAGGGCGCAGACAGCAGGGCAGGGCAGCAGTGCCGTAGTAGGGCAGCAGCAGCAATGCAGCAGCAGGCAGCAGGCAGCAGTAATGACGCAGTCCAGTAGGGACAGCAGCAGGCAGCAAGCAGCCAGCAGCAGCAGGCAGTCATGTAAGGCGGCGCTTAGCCTTGCTACTGTTCAGCTTCACTTGTGGAGTATGCGAGTGCATCAGGGCAGGCCTGTGCCTTACTTCTTCTCTCTTTATCTCTCTCTGGCTGCGTCCTCTTTAGTCTCTCTCTATCCTCGCCCACACTCTCCCGTTTTCTCTCTATGTCGTTTCTGCTCTCGCCCCTCTCTCTCTCTCTTTCCTCTCATCATCTCTATCTCTCTCGATCTCTCTCTCTCTCTGTCTCTCGTGCCTCTCTCTCTCTTCCCACTCTCTCGTCTCAGTCTCTTCTCTCATCTCTCTCTCTCTCTCGTCTTCTTCTCATCTCTGTCACTCTGACTGTCCTCCTCCTCTCTCTCTCCCTATCTTCCTCTCATCTCTCTCCCGTCTGTCTCTCTCTCTCAGAGCTCCTCCTCTCTCTCTCGCCTCTTCTCTTGTCGTCTCTCTATTCTTGTCTCATCATCTCTCTCATCTCTCTGTCACGCGCTGTCGTCTCTCACTTTTTTTTTTTTTTTTTTTTTTTTTTTTTTTTTTTTTTTTGTTTTTTTTTTTTTTTTTATTTTTTTTTTTTTTTTTTTCGTTCTCTCTGTACCGCTGTCTGGCTCTCTTCTCCTCTCTCGTCTCTTCTGTCTCTCTCTCTCTCTCTGCTCTCTCTTCTCTCTCTCTCTCTCTCTCCCTCCTCCTCTCTCTTCTCTGTCTGCTCTGTCCTCTCCTCGATCTCTGTCGTTCTCCTGTCTCTCTCTCTCTCTCTCTCTCACTCTCTCTCTCTTCTCTCTCCTCTCTCCTCTCTCTCTTCTCTCTCTCTGCGTCTGTCCTGTCCGCTCTCCTCTCCCTTCCTGCCGTCTGCTTGCTCCTCTCTCTCTCTCCTCTCTTTCTCTCTCTCTCTTCTCATC